TTAGCTGCTGTCTGCCATGTAGAGAAAGGCATTTGAAGGTAAGGGTCCACAACAACAAACAAAACCTTATCACACAACCTCACATCATGCCTATCAGCCAAAGGATGTTAATGTGCACCCATTACCTCCCCCCGCCCCCGCTGATCTTAATGTGCAATTAGATACCAAGAGAGCAGGGGTGCTATTCAGCAGGTTCTGGAGAACCGGTAGTGGAAATTTTGAGTAGTTCAGAGAATTGGCAAATACCACATCTGGCTGGCCCCAGAGTGGGGAGGGAATGGGGATTTTGCAGTATTCTTCCCCTGGAGTAGGGTGGGAATGGAGATTTTGCAATATCCTTCCCCCAGGAGTGGGGAGGAAATGGGGATTTTACAGTATCCTTCCCCTGGAGTACAGTGGGAATGGAGATTTTGCAGTATCCTTCCCCTGCCACGTCCACCAAGCCACGCCCACAGAACTGGTAGTAAAAAAATTTGAATTCCACCACTGCAAGAGGTATTCTATCGATAGAAACCTTAAACCTCTTTAGCTGTTGACTTCATTTTCTAAACACTGAAGTCCAACTAGTAGCCAGAGCAGATCCTTTAGGATGCGTGTTACATGATCTCTATAAAATAATCCAACTGGCAGTTTTCTGCCATATGCTGCAGTTTCCGCATTCTCTTCAATGGCAGATCTATATAAAGTGGGTTCCAGGAGTCTAACTGGGAAGTTACTGGACCATAAGATTATTGTGGCCAACCTTCCTTGTTCAGGAACCAAAGGCATTCCTTAGTTTACTTAAATCAGCCAAGGTTGGAGTTATTAGACTCTGGAGGTAGATATGTGTGTCTGTTTTTATTTATTCTGGACAGCAAGAAATGCAAATGGTGAAGCCCACACAAGGTTCTCCTTCCGTATTAGGATGACTTGGAGCAGGGATGGATATGCAAAAACTGTGGGCCAAAGTTGTCTTCCCCATGATACTCATTGCAACTTCATTTAAACATTCTCCTTCTCTAGACTATTTTATGCTTGCTGTCTCCCTGTACACCAAAATCTGCTGGTGCCTCCAAGATACTTATTCCCCTTCCCCCACCTAATGCAAACAATTAACTCACAGCCTGGAATCTGTTTATGGAGGGAAAATAGAGTGTCCTGTGCTTAAAGCCCTGATATGAGGGTCTTACAAGGGACATAGTTGGGAGGAGAGGCCTCACACAGTTCCATTCTTGGCTTCAATACAGGAAGATTTGGTGGGAAGGAGAGGTCCTTGATTAATGGAATCATGGGGAGGTTAGACCAGAGGTGGGTTTCAGCAGTTCTGAAACCAGTTCTGGCGAACCGGTAGAGGAAATTTTGAGTAGTTCGGAGAACCGGTAGTAAAAATTCTGACTGGCCCCGCCACCATCTATTCTCTGCCTCCCAAGTCCCAGCTGATCAGGAGGAAATGGGGATTTTACAGTATTCTTCCCCTGCCACGCCCACCAAGCCATGCCCACCAAGCCACACCCACAGAACCGGTAGTAAAAAAATTTGAAACCCACCATTGGGTTAGACCAAGCCTTTATCTGAGGGCCAAGATCATTGCACAGTCTTGGATGGCAAGGGCCAAGGCTTGTGCTTGATGGCAGTTTTCAGTGTTTAGCATTGAAATTATCCACTGAACATAGAAAGGTTGTGCAACCTCTATTTCTTCTTCCTCTGAGATAAGGGCAATTCTCATATGCCACTAAATGCACGTTAAACAGAAAAGTATACTTCGTGAGCATAGGAACACACCAGGATGGGAAAGCAAAATTCACTGAATTTCTGCCCAATGTACTGATGCAGTAGATGTGTGTTCTTAGGTCAGAGAGCTTCTCATTCTGAATCTACTACCAGATGTAAATCTCTCCCTCCCCCAGGGCACCCATCACTCATGCACAATGCTTTGATTATATAGGAAGGGGGGGGGAGTTGTAATGAAATCCACAAGCCTGACTCTTGCTTGACTCCTCCTAATTTAGCCAAATCATGCTAAGAAAACAGGAGTTAAGGGGCCCATTGCAAAAAATAGGGGTACTGGATTTCCTGCCCCCTCACTCCCAAATATCATCTGTAATTTGAGCTCTGTTCCATGCAAAAGGATCTGACGGGAGATTGTTTCCTCTCACTCTGGGCCAAATATTTTGCCCCACGATAAAAAGTCATATTCACATCCCTTAGCAATTTCCAGCTGGAAGTTGCACCATGTGTTGTGTGTTGCATATTTCTAGCTTGCGTGTCTTGTTCCTCTCTTCCCCCTCCTGAAGGCAGAAGTGAGGGACCACTTTTTTCCCCCTGATGGTAGTTTGCTTTCCTCACACTGATTTCTTTTGCAGAGAGAAAGGCCAGCCAGCACCAGACACTAACTCAGCATAGGGACGAACAAAACAACAGGAAAGGGGAGGCAGGTATTAGTCTCTGCAGAGAAGAAGAACAGGAAAGCTTACCTGTTGTCTGTGGGTCTCAAGGGTCTTTGGGGGAAAATTGGACTGTACTCAGGGGTGGGCTGCTGGGAGTTCGCAGGGGTTCGGGAGAACTTCTAGCTAAGATTCTGTGAAGTTCGGAGAACCCCTAAATCCCACTCCTGGCTGGCCCCACCCGCCCCTCCCCTCCCAGGAGTCCCCACGCGGCCTGTTTTGGATGCAGGTAAGTGCAGGGCACATGTGGAACAGCGGTGGGTTCTACTTACCTTTACTACTGGTTCGCAACGGGGCTGAGCGCGCTCACTTGCTTTGCATACGCGTGCACTCTTCTCTACATGCGCAGAAGTGTTTTTATGATGTCAGGGTCAGTGGGCGGAGCCTCCCACCGGTTTTACTACGGGTTCTATAGAACCGGTGCGAACTGGGAGCAACCCACCAAGTTCAGAAGGGCGTGGGGAAGCCGCTTTCGCCCTCCTGGAGGCTCAAGGAAAGCCTCCGGAGCGCAGGGAGGGCAAAAATGCCCCCCTGCTGTGGTGCAGGAGGCCGACATGGCCACGCCCACCATGGCCACGCCCACCCAGCAACTGGGCAGAGAACCCCTTGCTAAAAATTTTTAAGCCCACCCGACTGTACTACAGTACCTTGTAGGAAAATAGCCCTGCAGCTACACATCACACAGGTATGTACTGTGGCATAATACTATTTTCCTTACCCAAGTCTGTCTCAGCTCATACTTCTCATTCACATCTGTACAACATTGATACCCCTGATGCATGAACTGAATGCTCCAGACACTCTGTTCAGGTATGCAGAATGAACACATATAGATAAGGGGCAGCACAGACATACGTTTCATTACTCATCTGCACACACGTATATACAGTAAAGTCTCCTTCAAGCTGAGCTCAACTCCTGGGGACCTCCTGGCCATAGCAATACAGATTTTTGGCAATCACACAAGGGTACTTCCCTGGTGCCTTTTTTCCAAGATTTTGTTTTAAATTCCAGCCCAGTCTCTATAGCCCTGAAATTTCCCAGTGGTCTCCCATCCAAATATTAATCAGCTACTTAGCTTTTTTTGAATTGGCCAAGGTTGGCTAAGGTGCTACCACCTCACTGGATGTACTCACATGTAACATCTGAAGCAAGACAATTCTTCCTGGTCAACTGCCATTTTGGAAAATACAAAGTTCCATGGTTTCCAATCGGAACTTTCTAGAAGCCCTACCCAGCATTTCCAGCTCTTGAGGATGAGGGATATTATAGTCCAGGCACATCTACAGATTCAGGAATGTTGGGATAAGTGCTGCTGCCCTGACATATCATACCATCTCCTTTTGCCAGTTCTACTGAGGTATAAGAACATAGCATTGAGACTGGCTTTCTGGAACTACTGTAGCCAGAACAGGAATTGTTATGCACATGGACTAGATGTCCTTCTAGAAGCTTGAAAAAAACACACTTCTTCCTTCCAGAATGGGGTGTGTGTGTGTGTGAGAGAGAGAGAGAGATGTGGTCTAAGGTTTCCAGGACGGTCCTGGGAACAGCTACAAGTTGTTAGTAGAGAGGTCAAATAATATGCATTTGCCCATGAAATCAGCCTTACTTGATGATATCTCACTCTGACATCTTCTGTTTTCCATATAAAGGGAATGGGGAATTCAGTTTCAAGTCCTTCTAAGGGAGATTCAACTTTGGTATCTGCTTCTTTTGTTTTGCTCAGGATTTTTAGCCCTGCCTGGAAGCCCTCAGGCATTTTGAGCCTTCTAAGCAAAAACTTCCTATATAACAGGAAAGTTAGAGGCTAAGGGCGTAGCGCCGTTAGGCCCAGATGGACTGAGGGAGACCCTTTGTGTAAAATCAGGCCTCTCCAATAGTTGCAGGCTCTACGTTTCATGGCAATCCTGTTTGGGACGTTGGAAAGAAATCCCAGCGTGGGATGGCTGGACTGTAGTCAAGGGGAGCAGGTGAGACTGGCCAGGGAAGAGCAGCAAGATTGAAGGACTACAGAAACGAGTCGGAGAATACCACCCCACTTCTCAGAAACAAAGCCTCCCCTGTCTCAGATCTGTTCCTTTCTCACACAGACATGCACACATCTCTTTGGGGACTAGCCAGACAGGCTGCTTGCTGGAAACTCTCCTGGCTAGTGACGTGGGAGAACTGGAGGGGCAGCAGACTCCAAGGCCCATGAATCGGACCCAGAGCTGAGATCATTTCCCCAGCTCTGGAGTGGGGTGGGGTGGGGGAAAGTGTGGCATGTCGAAGCACAGGGTCCACGCATGGTGGGTACGTGGCCTCTTGCCCTATGGCAGGGACCTCACTCAGTAGCAGTGTTGTGCCGACTCCCTTGGGCTGGTCGGGCTTCATGCGCAACCCCTCTCGTTTTTCCCATTCCTGCACACTCTTCTCTCTCCCCCCCCCCCCCGTTCCCGTCCTGACTGTAACGAGAAGCAGATGTGAGCAAGCAGCCCAAACCCAGCACAGGAGGGAGGGGGTGGCCAAGCAGGAACTGAGGCTGCAGAAAATCCCCATTTCGAACGAGGCTGGCTGGTGGAGGGGATGTTCAGAGGGCCAAGGCCAACCCAGGGGTGAGGGAGCCAGCGGTTGGGCAGGGAGCAGGGAAGCCCAGGATAGGGAAGGCTTAAGTGTGGGGGGGAGCAGGGCGCTGGGGCTCAGAGCTGCCAGGCAGGAAGTTGGGGGGAGTGAGCAAGCCAGCTCTGGGAAGTTTGCAAAGCTGTCAGTGTGTGAGGAGTGAGCGGCTGCACAGAGCCCTCTCGGCCCACGTCGGTGCCTGCAGGCTGAGCGTCAGGGAGAGGGCCAGAAAGAAAGGAAGACTCCTGCTCTGCCATCATCACTGACCCTGCTGCCAAGGGCCTAGGGGCCCAGGCCATGTGCAGCTGACCCGGGAGCCCAGGGAGAGAATCACCAAGAACTGGGAATGGCCAGCCCTGGGGCCACTGCATGGCTCTGCATTTGGTGGGGCCTCCTGGCCAGGGAGGTCTGGGGCATGAACTACCCTCCCAGGTACAATCTCTACACAGGAAACAACCTGCCTTTCACACAGCTCCAAGGGACAGCACAAGCAACCAATGGGGCCCGGGTGGCCAGTCGCCACAGGTAAGACAGCTGACTCTACAGACAATGGCAGATGCAGGGATGGGGCAAAATCAAGCCGTCTGGATACGGGTCCTTCAGAAAGAAATGGAAGGGCAAAAGGAAGAAAGTCAGACTTTCACAGGCATAATGCACTTCTGCATCTGAGCTTCTGGGAAGCTAGTTACTGCCACTGGCCTGAGGGGAGGGCACTGGAAAAGACAGCTTTTGTGTTCCTATGAGGTTTAAAGGATATGGAGAAGACCTAGGAGCTGGTTAGAAGAGGATGGAGGATTGAAACCCCCCCCCCCCCCCCCAAGGGCCTTATTTGCATTGCATATTTAGATATGGCTGGCTGCCCATCTTAGCAGTGGCAAATCTACATTGCATGTGATTGCAGGTTTAAAAGTACCCATTGCTTATCCCACCATGGGGTTGGTGGGTGGGTGGGGCGGGGAGAAATTGGACTCACACTATGTCAGTTTTAAATTTTAAAACTGAATAGAGGCAAGCCATGAATAGCCTCATAATCTATTGCTATTTAGCGTAATGGACTTTATGTGCTGTTATATTATATGTTGTTATGAATGATTGATTATACACTGGCTTGAAATCCCAAGAAAGATGCCTGACAGTGAACATGGAAAAGAGGTGGTGACAATGGTGTTTCCATAGCAACACACTTCAATCCCTGTCCATGTGCTTATCTTTCCCAACAGAAGGTGGAAAGAGGCTCTGGATGCAAATTAAGGGCTGAGGACTATCCCATGCCCAATTGGTCTAGCTACCCACCCCATCAGCTTCTTTTTTTGTTTGGGGGGGGCACTTTTCCCACAGATGCAGGGTGAATGTGGATGCTTGAGATGGAGAGTCCTGCTTGCTACCGTAGATGTATTGTAAGGTGTTAATATTTATTTATTTATTTATTTATTTATTTATTTATTTATTTATTTATTGGATTTCTATACCGCCCTTCTCCCGAAGGACTCAGGGCGATGAACAGATTAAGATTTCATATACATGTATTTTTTTTTATAAACAGTAAATAATAAATTGAGTCAACTTGGTGTATCTGCTAAGACCTTGGCATAGAATTTAGATGTTTATGCTAGCCCTGCTTGTTGAAACAGAAAGGTCTTCAGGGCACATCGGAAAGTGCGAAGATCTGGGATTATTCGTATTCCAGGAGGTATTTTGTTCCAAAGAGTAGGTGCCCCCACAGAGAAGGCTCTCTCCCTTGGAAGTACTAGACGACATTGTTTTAATGATGGTACTATGAGTAGGCCTACTCTGTGAGAGCGTATTGGTTGGTGGGAGGTTATCGGTTATTTGTGAGAATAAGACTTGGGAATGGGTTGGCTTTATGGGGGAGAGGACTGTGCCTCAAGATGACCACAAAATATTTGTGGGATGTTGAGGAATTGAGATAAATGCTGAAGAATCATATAATGGAAACAGGAGACAGCGGTCCTTGGGGTGGGAGAAAGAAGTTGCTGCTTTCTCCAGTACTTCAGAATTTTTCTTAAGCTAATTATGTGGGGTGGGGTGGGGTAGAGGGGGGAGGAATAGCAAGAGCAGTTGAGGTTTGAATGGATATTGCTTTTTAAAGGGGGAATTAGATTCCAGGGTAAATTTGCAGCTAGTTTGGGAAATAGGAGCAGCATTGTACGGAGGCAGAAAGAAAGGGGCTCCAGAAAATAATAACAAGAAATGGATCTTGGCAAGAGTTGTAGATTAGAGGAGAAAAGCAAAGTAATACAAGACTTGTTCATTGATACAATCACCCTTCACTTCCTCCTCCCATTTTAACTACTCCATAATTTGCCCAGAATAGGCCCTCACTTTTTCCTAGTTAGGCCTCTTCTCGTGGGCTGGCTTTGGAGGTCTGGAGAATATTTATTTGTTGTTAGATTTATAGGCAGTTCTTCAGCCACACATCTATTGCAGCTTATAACAACCAAGACTAAAATCATCCATTATGAAAACGTACTGAATCAGTGCACAAACATTACACAAAAATAGCAGCCAGACAGAAACAACATATTATCTCAGATCTCCAAAGGCTGTCAAAACCAATGAGTTTTGCCATCTGCTGGAAATTCCCAAGAGTGGGGCCTTCTGGCGGCTCTCAGTGGAGGCACAAATGTTGAGCACCAGATAATGGGAAAAGGCTTATTTATACGTACTGAAGCCTGGTTTGAACTGCCCCTGTTCAAAATCTTGCCATAGTAATTATTGTGCAGGAAAAATTCTCAACGCAATGTTAAGAGGATCAATCCATTACCATTTCATATGAATTCCTTTCTCAAGTTGACCCTGGCATGCAGGAAATACCTAAACTTCCTCTGTGAGGATGGGGAATATGATAAGGTGAGCTGGGCAAATATTAACCAGTAGGAAAGTAACTTGTTAGTTCAGATTAATCTTTTCCAATAATGGAGAGAGGCATCCTTGCCTGGCCTTTGACCCGGCTCTTTTTTAGTAGAATATCTCTTCTCAGGTCACACTCCTCCTTGATTAAAGGCCATTAGGCCTTAAGGCTCTGTCCGAGCAAAGGTGAAAAGCATTCTTAAGGCAATTCACCTGCATCCAACGTGTACTGCAACTGGGGTGTTGGTGGCAAGGAAAGTAAACAAGCAGGGAGTTAGGATTCCTTCATTAAGTGCATAGCCAAGAGACAAAAGAAGAGGGAATTGCTCTGGTGCCATTTCCTCTGTTACTGAATATTTTGAGGGGTTCACTACTACGCTACAGTAGTGGGAGATTATACATTTTCTCTCACTAGGCCAGTGGGATTCCACAGATATGATCATCTTACAGTGTATCTGCCAGCCCATTGGGCACATGGCATCACTGCCTATCTAATCTGTCAGATTTTTATACTGCCATAATCATATGATTCTCAGTAGTTTAATCACAGAAAAGGACATTAGAAGCATTGTTCTAGTCAAACACCCTAGTCAATACAGGATCCCTTAAAGCCTCTCTGACTATCTCCCCTCTGCCGGAAGATCTCCACTGAAAAGACAACTCATTATTTTGTGCGACAGCCTGTTCCATTGGCTGATAACACATATAGTCAGGAAGTTTCTCCTAACATAAAGACTGAACTCCTTCCTTGTAATTTTAACCCATTGGTTCTGGTCTTGCCCTCTGGGGCAATGGAAAATAAATCTATTCTGTTTTCTTGTGACAGCTGTTCAGATAATTGAAGACTTCCGTCATTTCTCCCTTCAGTGTTTTGCTTTTTTCTGTCCAGATTCTTTTGTTGCTCATCATAGGGCTGAATGTTTATGAAGATTCTCAGTCATCCAGGTCATGGTTGTCTCAAAGGTGCTTTTTCAAAAGGCAACTGGACTTTCTTTTTCCTTGAAGACGCTTCACTTCTCATCCAAGAAGCTTCTTCAGTTCTGATTGAATCATGGACGAAGGAAGGACTTATATTCCTTGCAGTTATCTGGTCGTTAGCATTCTTTCTGAGAGTCAATGAGGCCACTAGGAGCTCTATCTGTGCCCTCAAGGCCACTTGAGTGTTTCAAATGGATCCTCCATCATTGAGTCAGAACTGAAGATGCTTCTTGGATGAAAAGCCAAACGTCTTCAAGAAAAACAAAAGTCCAGTTGCCTTCTGAAAAAGTACCCTTGGGACATCATAGGGCTGGCTTTCAGATCCTTTACAGTTCCCAGCAGCCCTCATCTGAGCTTGCTCCAACATGTCACTGTCTTTTTGAACTACCTCTCCAAATGGAGTCTGTGGAAAGGAACAATTACTTCCTACGATTTGAGTTCTACACTCATAGTAATGTAATGCAAGATAGCATTTGCCTTTTTAGCAGCTGCATCACATTGCTGGCTCAACATGGTCAATAGCAACAGACTCTTTTCCGATGTTCTATTTCAGAGCCAAGTCTCCCCCATCTTATATTGTCTTTGTATAGCCATGCCCCAGTTCTGTAGCTCAGCACCAAGTTTCTCCACTCAGTACCTTTTTTGGTCTTCATCAAAGTCTCTTTGTTAAAGCAACAATGAAGAGGAGTCTCTTAGTTTAGATTAACATCAAGGTGTGCCTAGGCACATCTGCCTCTGGCTTCTGCTTGAATCCCATGCTTTGTTTTGGGGGATTTATTTAAAACAAGCATTAAAATTTAAGGCCTCTCTCAAATCCTCATCCTCTCTCTAGAAGCTGAATCTTTGTGCCAAATATGTCAAAGCAACGTTGCTCTTTATCATTAGCAATGTGGAATAGGCAGGAGTTAGAAACCTGCTGCTCAGAGAATCTCCCTGAAAATGAAGCCATTTAGGTCCTGGCCTCAGACCTGAATTAGAGCATCTCTCGTACGTGGGAATCTGGAAGTGGGGTAGATTTTGGGGTTCGCTACCATTTGCTGTGCAAGTAGGCTGACTGCGTGGGCTGGAGTAGAACAAAATCATTCAGTAGTGGATCAACCCAACCTTCCTTTCTTGCACCATTGCAGGAATTGGTGTGCCTATGTGGTATCCCGGAAAGTGAGCTGTGTGGTGGAGGATGGAGTCGACACATATGTGAAACCAGATTATCAGCCATGTGTTTGGGGACAGCTCCAGTGTCCTCGTGTTGTCATGTGAGTGAGGGGCAAGCAGGGAAAAGGGAACACCTCAGTGGTGGGTTTCAAAATTTTTTACTACCAGTTCTGTGGGTGTGGCTTGGTGGGCGTGGCATGGCTTGGTGGGCGTGGCTTGGTAGGCGTGGCAGGGGAAGGATACTGTAAAATCTCCATTCCAACCCCACTCCGGGGGAAGGTTACTGCAAAATCCCCATTTCCTCCCGATGAGTTGCGACTCAGGAGGCAAAGAATAGATGGGGGCGGGGCCAGTCAGAATTTTTACTACCGGTTCTCCAAACTACTCAAAATTCCCCCTACCAGTTCTCCAGAACTGGTCAAAACCTGCTGAAACCCACCTCTGGAACAGCTGTATAAGTCACAGTAGATCTCTTATAGTTCCCAGTCATTGCAGAACATGTAGAATTGGGTTTGGACTGAAAACACCAATAGGGCAAACAGAATGCATTTGTCCCCTACTCAATCGCATTGATCCCAGCTTCACTGGCAGGTTGGCTTGCTCGCTGGGTGGATTAAGAGGTCATGACCTTTCTGGGCAAATGGGGAAGAGAGGCTGGATGCCTGTGGCTGTTGCCTGGCGTGTGCCCAGTCCATTAGGGAAATGGCACCGATCCCAGCGCCAATAAAAGTTAATGGGCCGTGCACATGGAAGTGATCTGCTACCTCCTAGTGGTAATCGTTTGAATTGCCAACTTTTTACTTCCCAGTGTAGACTACATCTGAAGGATTTCTGGTGGTCTCCTACTTAAGCATTAAGTTTGACCCTGTTTAGTTTTTTTAAGATCAGTCATTGTCAAGCCTATTTGTCCAGGAAGAGAGACCAATGCTTGTTCAAACTAGAGGAGCTTTTAGCTTTTTCTGAGGAATATATGCAGCGAGTTCTGACTGTCCATGGGTGAAAAGAATGCTATAGAGCAGGGGTCTCCAACCTTGGCAACTTTAAGACTTGTGGACTTCAACTCCCAGAATTCCTCAGCCAGCAAAGCTACCAAAGTTACCAAGGTTGATAACCCCTGCTATAGAGAATCACCTCACCCTAAGAAGGGAAATACATAATGCTTACCAGCTGCCTGCCAAGAATATTATTACTTCTCCAAGCAAATAGCTAACCCCCAAAAGACCCCTGCCCCATTTCTTACTCCAGGCACAAATCCTCTTGGCTCTTTCTTCTACCTGACAGATACCGGAGTTTTGTGCGCCCACGCTATAAGGTGGCCTACAAGATGGTCTCAGACTTGGAGTGGCGATGCTGCTCTGGCTATTCAGGTGACGACTGTGCTGAAAGCGGGACGCTACTTACTACCAACCGACCACGACCTCAGCCTGGTCGACCCAACCTAGCTGGCTTTGGCAACCCCCTCAGTGGTGGAGAAGGTAAACTTAAAAGGTGTAAATAAAGTTTCCAGTTTGCTGTGGTGGTAGGATTGCTCTCTTTTTTTAAAAAAAATCTACATTCTTCCCCTTGTGTGGTAATTCCCACTCACCCCCTACAGTTTTCCTAGCATAAAAAGAAAAGCTCTGAGATGAGGAAGGCAGGGAGGCGAAGCATAGCTATGAATGCAGTGGTGAAATCCAAATTTTTTTACTACCGGTTATGTGGCATGGCTTGGTGGGCGTGGCAGGGGAAGGATACTGCAAAATCTCCATTCCCACCCATCTCCAGGGGAAGGATACTGTAAAATCTCCATTCCTACTCCACGCCAGGGGAAGGATACTACAAAATCCCCATTCCCTCCCCATTCCTGGGGGAAGGATATTGCAAAATCTCCATTCCCACCCCACTCCAGGGGAAGGATACTGCAAAATCCCCATTCCCTCTCTACTCTGGGGCCAGCCAGCAGTGGTATTTGCCAGTTCTCCAAACTACTCAAAATTTCTGCTACCGGTTCTCCAGAACCTGTCAGAACCTGCTGGATTTCACCCCTGTATGAATGTGATCAGCACATGCAAATGTATGCATATGGAGCACAAATCATAGCATTTTGCCAGCTTCCTAAGAGATTGACTCTTTAAAGATTGCCTTTTGAAAGATTGATGGCTGCTCTGGGTTTATTAACTTGGCAACCTTGCAGCACATCTTCACAGATTTTCACTTGGTTGGCTCCCAGCACCGGCAACTCCTCACTCTGGTTTCCCCTGCCACAAACCTCTTCCCAGATTTTCTCAGCCTAAACGTACATTAGCACGAATTTGATTCCTTGCATTGGGTATTTTCCCATGCTTCTGACCCCTGGGAGAATCTCCATTAAATTGTCAGAGGACATGAAGAGCAGTGGAGCTCTTCGATCTTTAATGGCTGAAGAGACGGCATTTTAGCAGGGCTCTTTTTCTCACCCTGTGACAAGATGCACCTGTCAAATCTCTTTCAAAAACTATTACAATCTACCCAGCATCTTTGCAGCTGCTCATTGTTGAAGGAGGCTGATGGGAAGATAAGTGCCAGATGTGGGGAGATTCAGTCTCTCACGAGATTATTCTAAAGAGGCTTAAGGAGATGATTTTAAAGAGGATTCAATAAATGCATGGAGAGAAGAGATACCCCTTAGGTTTTTTTTCTTATTCAAATGCAGTGCATTTTGGAAGACCAGCTTTTGGAGGCAAGTTATAGGGGAAACTATCATCAGCTTCCCATACTAGCCCATTGCTACTGGAAGAAATAGTGCTGAATGAGAGGGAGTTTGGGCCTAATCCAGCAAAACTTTGTATCCTGCAGTTACCCATTACTTGGCCATAGGCTGAAAAAAGCTATTCATTTTTTCTTTTCTTCAGATTAAGTTCCAGGAAGGAACTTTTTTTTCATTAGGGTACAGAATAACGTTATTCTAGAATAATTTAAAGTTATATGCTTTCCTGGCTAGTTAATAAAATGTATTGTTCTCATTGGTGATTACAATGAAAACATGCTGGTTGATGAATAGCCAATGACATCTGTTTCTCACTCATGCTGCCCGGAATCATGCTAAAATATTTCCATCTTAGAATTACTGATAAAAGCTGGTTTCGTTGCATTAATATAGTTCTCCAAAATTGGGGTGAGACTGGGGACAAAAATATCAACACCTCATGGTTCTATTTGGGGGAAAAAAAGGGGTTTACACGTTCTGCAAAGGACCAGTGTAACATGGTATCAAAGAGCATTGAGATGCCAATGAAAACTGCATGTAAGGAAAAGGCTTATGTGATTTGTGCAAGAATATTCCAAGAATCATTTTAAGCTTTGCTTAATGCAATTTTGGTTTCGGGAAAATGATCTAAGCATTTACTTAATTCACAGACCCTTCCAGCTATCTTTCCTAGTCTGGAGTCCTTGGCGCTCTCGGAGCTTGGTTAGTTGTTTGCAGAAGATTCATTATTCAACTAGGTAACACCAGTGCAACGTGCAATGTGAGCTTGCTCCGTTTAGCAGACACAGCGAAACATCTGCAAGCAAAGAGCCGAGCACCAAGGATTCCACTGCTCAACCCTGAACTCCCATATATTCTTTTCTAATGGTTTTTCCCAATATAGGGCATCTCAAATAGAAGAGTTGGATTAAACTTCCACCATGAGGTTGATCAGTGGTGAAATCCAAATTTTTTTACTACCGGTTCTGTGGCCGTGGCTTGGTGGGCGTGGTATGGCTTGGTGGGCGTGGCAGGGAAAGGATACTGCAAAATCCCCATTCCGTCCCCACTCCTGGGGGAAGGATGTTGCAAAATCTCCATTCCTACCCCACTCCTGGGGGAAAGATGTTGCAAAATCTCCATTCCCAGCCCACTCTGGGGCCAGCCAGAGGTGGTATTTGCTGGTTCTCCGAACTGCTTAAAGTTTCTGCTACCGATTCTCCAGAACCTGTCAGAACCTGCTGGATTTCACCCCTGGGCTTGATCATTGGTGTTATGCATGCTGCCCTCCAAACAAGAAGAGAAGCAGGTTCGGGAGTGGGTGGGGCTGCCTTAAGAGTTAAAAGCAGGCCACTCAGGTTTAAGCTCCCCGCTATTTTGTCAAGTCGATCAAATTCAAGGCCAAAGCGGCCTGATGCACTTTTTCAATCTCTCCATTTAGGACACAGGGACTCGGCCAAAGTCCAACAGCTGGAAGAAAAAGTGCAGAGCCTGACCAAGCAACTGCACGACTTGCAGTCTACCGTGCAGGCCAATAACGCCAAGCTGACCGAAGATGTGCGCCGGGCAGCGGAGAACGGCAAACAGCAGCCAGCAGACGCCGCCGCCGCCGCCGCCCACCCGGAGATGAAGGAGACCCTCAACGAGATCCAGCGCCACTTGCAGCGCCTCGACAACCGCATCGCCAACCACGAGAACGGGCGAGGCGCGGGCGGCGGCGGCGGCGGCGGCGGGACGGACGTCCGAGGCGAGGTCCTGCGGGAAGTGGAGCGGCGCTTGCAGGACTCCTGCGCCTCCTGCCTAACCGGCGCGGAGGAGCTGAAGCGGCAGCAAGGCGAGGACCGCGACCGGCTGCGAGCTCTGGAGAAGTTGGTCTCCTCCCTGGACCAGCGGAGCCGCGAAGCCGCGACCTCCATCCAGCAACACGTGAACCGCCTGGCCGAGCAGCTGCCCAAAGCGTGCTGCCCTCAGCTGGAGGGCCGGGTGGGCGAGCTGGAGCGCGGCTTGGAAACCGTCTCCGATTCGGTAGCCGCCCTGGACGAGCACCACGTGGGAGGCCGGCCGCAGCCCTCGGCCCAGCCGCAGCCGCCCTGGAGCGTCGACAGGCGGATGACCGAGGTGGAGAGCCGCGTCAACACCACGCAGCGCGGCATCTTGGAGCACTTGGAGGACGTGCAGGTCATGCTGCACGGAGCGGGCGATCGGCTCGGCCGAGCCGAGAGGCAGCTGGACTTCTTGTTCTCCCGGCTGAACGACTTCCAGAGCCACGTGGGCCGAGCTCTGGCCAATCTGTCGCGGGACGTCGGCGGCCTGAAGGACGGTAGCATGCAGCAGCAGGGGGCGCTGGAGCGGGTCCGCGCCTCCGTTCACGCCTGCACCCAGATCTGCACCGAACCGGGCAACCAGGACTCGCAGATCAGCAACATCTTAAGCGACCTGGAACGGCGCGTGCTGGACAACGAGGGCCAACTGCGCTTGCTGGGCTCCAGCCTCCACCAGCTCGACGTGTCCGGGAAATTGCGCAACTTGCAAGGCTTGGTGGGAGCGAACAGCGAAGCCCTTGGCAAGCTGGCCGGAGAGATTGGCGAGCTGGAGAACCGGATGGTCATTTCCGTGAGTGCGGGGCCTCCGGATTTGATACGTTATTCCAATCGCACCAATAAGCGCTTGGAGAAATTGGAGCAAGGGGTCGAGAGGTTGGAACACCATCCCTGCACTCAGAGCTGCTCCCAGCTACGGGGAGAAATGGTGCAGCTCAGGGAGCAGGTGGAAACCTGTCAAACAGCCTGCCGGCCAATGGGGGAAAAGCCAGAACTGGGTACCGAGCAAGGGGAGACTTCCAAACCCCTGGATGGCTTCAGCGTGATCGGCGGCAGCTCTAGCATCCACCTTCAGTCTTTGCAGGGAGAGCTCTCCGAGGTGATCTTGGGCTTCAGCTCGCTCAATGAGACCCTGGCTGGGCTGCAGGCCACCGTGGAAAAGCATGAAACCGACATCCATGAATTGGGCACGACCAAGGATCGCATCATCACAGAGATCAACCGGGTGCAGCAGGAGGTGACGGAGCACGTGGGCGAGAGCGATGTGCGCTTCCAGGACCTGGGTCATGAGGTTCAACGGTTCAGCGGTACCCTACAAGTGGAGGCATCAGACTGTCGGAGGGCCTCTGGGGGTCTGGCCGAGCGACTGACTAAGCTGGAAGGCACCTGTGAACGGCTAGACCATGTCTCTGGGAGCTTGCGCAAGATTAAGGAAGGGCTGGACAAGCACATCTCGGCTTTGTGGGGCTGCGTTCATGAAGTGAATGGGACTCTGCGCAGCCACGGAGCCTTGTTAGAGAAGATCCATGGCAGCCAGTTGGGCACCATCCACCGCCACCTCAGTACTCTCAATGGCTCCCTTCATACCCTCAAGGGTCAGCTGCATGACCTCACACTGCAGGACTTCACAGGTACTTTTAGCAGCTCTGATGGGGAGGAGGAGGAGGAGGGTTTCATCTGAGGTAGGAATCAAGGCCTTGGTGTAGTACAGGGTAGTCTTTGATTGACGACCACAATTGAGCCTAACATTTCTTTCGCTAAGTGAGACATTTGTTAAGTGAGTTTTGCCCCATTTTATGACTTTTCTTGCCACAGTTGTTATGTGGATCACTGCAGCTGTTAAGTTAGTTATATGGGTTGTTAAGTGAATCTGGTTTCCCCATTGATTTTGCTTGTCAGAAGGTTGCAGAAGGATACCCCCTGACACTGAGACCGTCATAAATATGAGTTAGTTGCCAAGCATCTGAATTTTGATCACGTGACTATGCGGATACTGCAACAGTCGTAAATGTGAAAAACAGTCATTAGTCATTTTTTTCATGAATGAACTGTTGTAAATTGAGGACTACCTGTATATCCTGACCATCTTCCCCTTTCTTATGAGGTACTATCTAGAATGACTGTCCTTTGTTCTAATTTTCAGGCCCTCCGGGTCTTCCAGGCCCCATGGGAAAACAGGGCCCTCCAGGTCTGATGGGACCTCCTGGCAAGGATGGAAAGACTGGCATAGAGGGACCTCCAGGTGAGAAACTAAGTTCAATTACTCTTGGTGGTGTAGCCTGTACCTTTAATAATACAATGCTCCCAAGAAGATCAGTTTTACTGCTTAGTAAATGCTGTATCTCTTCAAACTCTCTCATTCCCTTTCATTCCATAGTCATCCTTGCCAAATATGTTAGTGATAAGAGTTTTAGGGTTTCCCAATTAATGATTTTTCAGACAGAAGAAAAACAGCTGCAACAGTTCTAGTTCTTGGATTAAGCAGATGTTCTTACAAGGAAATTGAGTTTGGAGATTTTTTTTATAATGGCTAAGGCTTAAAAAACAAGGAAGGTCTAGATTAGGACGATAATGGGAAGAATCATACCAGAATACTCTTGTGGGTGTGCAGTGTGCGGAAGTGGCAGTTGCCAAACCTTCAACTATGAACTTAACTAGACGTCGCTAAATGTAGTCTTGATGCATCTAAGGGCAAATTCTCTCCTTATTTGACCTGCAATCGTATAGTAAGTAGGAAGACAAAGCAGTAAGAAGTGCAAGGTATGGCCATACCTGTGTTTATGTGACTCCTTTTTTTTTTCTTTTGCAGGTTTCCCTGGAAAACAAGGTAATAAAGAGTAGATAGCGAGATGTGGAAGAGAAGTAATTTCTATTCTTGGAGGAAATTGAAGGCTTAAACCTAGGCAATTGGAACTACTAAGTCCTGTGTTCTATCTAGTTTAGAACTGGTAGCAAAAGTGCTCTAAAGTCTGTAGTAGAAAAGGGGTTTAGTGTTAAACTTGGTTGGTAGTGGAATGGCTTGTATGCTTTACTACTGCACTATGATAAATGGAAGTCTCCTTTTCAGACAGTTTATTTCATCTCCCCTGTTTCTGTAATGTTATGGGGTAGGGATAGAGTAATGGAGGAAAACAGAGGATAATATTTACAGGCTGCTGCTTGGATTATAGACACTAGGGGAGATCACAGTTTTGATTGCCATGTTTTCCATAAATGGACCAATGTGATTACTGGTAAATTGAAAATCTGGTAGATTGGATAGGGTAGGGGGAGAAAGCAAGCAAGTGGTAGACGGTGATTCTTTCTCCTCCCAATTCTCTTGCACAGGACCACCAGGTCCACCTGGAAGAATGCCCAAAGTCTCCTTCTCAGCAGCTCTGACAAACTGGCATTTCAATACTGGAACCGTCATCTTTGACAAGGAGCTGGTGAACGATGGCAATTTCTATGACCCAAAAACAGGTCAGTGAATGTAAGGTGAAAAGAATGTATGGGATGGGATGGTTGTCATAATAGCATGAAGGAGTCTGCAGCTGGGTCAGACCACTCGTTTAGCATCTGATTTCCCATGGAAGGATAATAACCTACCAGATACTTTAGGATGAACCTGAATGCTGCAATCGTTTTTTTCACTACGGTGCCCTAGCCACTAAAATTCAGCATGCCATCTCCACTACTTGAAGTTGCATATTGCCATTTTGACTATGACCCACTGATAACAATACATTTCTTCTTCGGGCTCTTTTTTCTGCCAGATCATCCCCTAGCCATCTCTGAAATTAAGACTTTGTCTCCAGCTCTTAATGTATACTCTATAATTAAATAGGATTTAAGGATTAAAGGCAAAATCTCTTTCTTTGCTCAATGGTTCTTCTGTGCTTTTTCTCCCGTCAGGAACTTTCACAGCTCCTGTTTCTGGCCGCTATCTGGTCAGCGCGATTTTGACCGGGCACAGAGGTGAGAAGATTGAGGCAGTGCTCTCGCTTTCCAACAAGGCCATTGCCCGCAGCGACTCAGCTGGATATCAGCCTGAAGGACTGGAGAACAAACCAGTGGCTGAGAGCCAACCAAGTGCTGGTGCTTTGGCAGTCTTCACTCTCATTGTCCCAATGGAGATCGATGATACTCTCTGTGTGGACCTCGTGTCTGGCCAGCTAGCCCACTCTCCAGATGAGCCACTGACAGTTTTCAGTGCCGCCTTGCTTTATGAGGAAAAATTGGGGGTCCATATGGTTCCTCAATGGGGGTAGGAGCAACTCAAAGCAGTCCACAGCCCAGCAGGAAAAAAAGATACCAAGGAACCCCAAATTTGCACCCCAATAACGCCTCCGTTCTTCCCTTCTGGGCTGGTGTCACCCAGTGACAACTAGGATGGCCGAGGTATAGTGAGTGATTAAGGTATTGGACTAGGACTAGGAAGAAGCAGGGCCAAGCCTTCTCTTAGCCATGGAAATTCACGGGGTGACTTTGGGCCATTTACTTTCTTTCGGGCCAACCTACCTCACAGGGTTGCTTTTGTAGGGATAAAACAACAGGAGTTCCCCATGGAAGCTGCCTTGAACCTTGGTGGAAAGGCAAGGTATAAATCTAATAAATAAATTGGCAGCTTTTGCCACCCCAGAGTTGAAGCTGTCAGCTGAGTTCCTGAGGACTTAAGTAGCCTCAAGCAAACTTTTTGCCAGCACTTCCTTTTTCCCTCCTAAAGCATGAACCATGGGGAGAACCTGCCTCTCTAAAGCCCTGTAAGCTACTCTTAAGTGTACTCTTAAATACTACTAAGTGTATTAATACCCTCTGCATTGTCTAGGGCCCAGGATTTGAAAAAAGCCAGAAAGTGCAGCTGCCTAGACCAAGAGAACACATTGTCTAGGACAGTGATGGCAAACCTATGACATGCATGTCAAAGCTGACACATCACAACATTTTGAGTAACACAGCAGAGTTTATGCCAACACTCAACAACTATTCTCAAAAGCATGCCCCGTTCTGCAATTTTCAGAGACTGTGGAGGCCAGGCAAGACTGAAGTGTGCTTTCATACAGCCTCTGGACCCTCCAGAAGTCAAGCAAGAGGGTCACACTCTTCTTACACAGCCTCCTAAGCCTCTGAAAATCATGCAAGAACAGGTTGTGTTTTTGTGCAGTTTCTGAATGCTTTAAAAGCCATGGAAGAGCATTCTCCAAAGTCGTTTTAAAGCAGAGGTTGGTTTCAAAAGGTTCTGACCAGTTCTGGAGAACCGGTAGTGGAAATTTTGAGTAGTTTGGAGAACCGGTAGTAAAAATTCTGACTGGCCCTGCCCCCATCTATTCTCTGCCTCCCAAGTCCCAGCGGATCGGGAGGAAATGGGGATTTTGCAGTATCCTTCCCCTGCCACGCCCACCAAGCCACGCCCACCAAGCCACACCCACAGAACCGGTAGTAAAAAATTTTGAAACCCACCACTGCTTTAAAGCCTCATTTGACTGAAGAAAAGTCAGGTAGGTTGCAAGAGCCTGTTAACAGAAGGAGAACATCCTTTAAAGGTAAGTGGCACATAGCAGATCCTGGGGAATGTTGGGCCATGGGGGCAATTCTGCCATAACCTGAAGCTCTTGTGCCTTGGGAACTGCGCAAGGTAGTCTATATTAGCGGCAGTGGTGGTACTAGGGATAAATTTGAGGCCTGGGCTAATGTTCAGAGTGGCCTAGATGGGAGTAAGGAATTATTTCTGTGTGTGTGTGTGTGTGTGTGTGTGTGTGTGTGTGTGTGTGTGTGAGAGAGAGAGAGAGAGAGAGAGAGAGAGAGAGAGAGAGGTCAGCAGAGTCAAGTTAGGTATTTTCTGAAGTTTTGACATGTCGAGCCAAAAGGTTCGCCATCACTGGTCTAGTAACTAGCCCTTCCTTACCTGCCGTGGAATGGAGGGAAGAATCCTTTTTGTTATTTATCTGTGTCTGTCATTCCCCAGAGAAAATGCCCACTGCTCCTCTCTTCTTGCCTTACCAACCGACTCCCTGCTTTGCCCATATTTTCTCACAACCTGAGTTGTCTCATCTAATCATGTCCGCTGCCAACCTGTCAAAACCCAGGCTACCTACTAGCTGTAGATTTAAGAGCCCTGGATTTCCAAGCCATGAAGCCACTAATTTCTACAATAAGCGAGGATGAAAAGCTCTTTTGCAGCCATTTTGGCAGAGTTATAAGCAGAGGAAGGTGGTAAATGAATGGAAGAACTCCCACCTCTCTCTGTTTCATCCCTTATGTATATGCTGTATAATGGCTAAACTCAGCTAATGATATAATTATTGAATAAAGTTTTTTTTTTTAAAAAAAAGATGCACCTTTCTTTTCATTTGTGTGGTGTGTGGCAAATTCAATCATGTAAGAAAGTTAGGAGGAGGAAGATTATTGTTCATTCTTCCCCTGGGGTGGCATCTCCAGACAGACTGGAGGCAGAGGTGGTATTCAGCAGGTTCTGACCAGTTCTGGAGAACTGGTAGCGGAAATTTTGAGTAATTCGGAGAACCGGTAAATACCACCTTTGACTGGCCCCACCCCCATCTATTCTCTGCCTTCCGAATCCCAGCTGATCGGGAGGAAATGGGGATTTTGCAGTAACCTTCCCCTGGAGTGAGGAGGGAATGGATATTTTACAGTATCCTTCCCCTGGATTGGGGTGGGAATGGAGACAGTATCCTTCCCCTGGAGTGGGGTGGGAATGGAGATTTTACAGTATCCTTCCCCTACCATGCCCACCAAGCCATGCCCACCAAGCCATGCCATGCCCACCAAGCCACACCCACAGAACCGTTAGTAAAAAAAATTGAATCCCACCACTGACTCGAGGGAGGAATTAAGAGGGGGCTGAGCTTAGAGTCTTTGCACTGCAGAAAGCAGCATAGGCCTGACCTACCTCTGAATCCCTGAAGGCTTATCTGGCTTTGCCCAAGGGAATGTGGTCAATCTGGGGTGAGGTTTTTTTGTAACAGGTGACTTAACAGTAAAGCTGCTGCTTGAGACAATTCACAAGTGGTTCTGGTTGCTTGCACTTGACATTCCCTAATGCAGCTGTCTCGGACAAGTAACCAAACAAATTATGAAATACTTGACCTCCTAAGGTGGGAGTCCTATGGACCTTATAAGTGGCCTCCTGTGGATAAGAGGGAAAGGCAGAGTAAACATTTAGAATAAGAGTAAGTAAATAATTCAGCCAACCTGCCTGGATTGTGTAGGGCAGGAAAGATGTTGGCTCTCTTTAATAATAAATATGTGCAAGTACAAACATACGCATAGAATCTTTTGGTACCATTTTGGGCATGGGCCAACAGGAGAAAGATCATGTTGCATGAGTCAAATGGTCGTTTAGAAGAAAGATTAATATTCTTAATCAAGAAAGATTCCAATTGACTAAGAGAACTCCAGGCTGCCCAAGCAAACAGACTGTTCTCAAATGAGAACTTTAAAAAAATCTAGCTATGCGGATTACTTTCTTGTCAGCCCAACTGAAGTAAATGGATAATAACTGAGCAAAAGCATATATAACAAGCACTACCATTAGACTGATTTTGAATATAAGTGACTCCGAAATGATTGGTTGCTACAGTACTCGATTTTTACTACTGATCTGACAGACAGACTTTTAATCAGTCTGGGTGGCTTTAGGAAGCATATGTCTTGCTATGGCTGGAGTTTATGAGTCATTTGTTGTTCTACTTCAGCAAAAAAAATTAATAATAATCTTGGTACTGATTAGCATGAAGTAGGAATGTTCCCATAGAATGCATTGTAGGTGCATCAGTGTGTGAAATTAGTATCATTTGTAACAGTGCATGAATAGGCCCCAATTAAGATTTTCTGTAATTTGATCATTGAAATAATCTGATATAGCAGGTTGTCTTGATTTATTAGGATTCTGAAACTGCAGCTAAGAAATGAGCAAGTGAGTTCAAAAAGAAAAAAAGCAACACTGCTCTCTACTATAAAAGATAAGTATTCTCTGCACACCCGTAGCAAAGGATTATCCTATGAAGCCCAGATCTGAATTCTCCCTGGTTCTTGTGATAATTCGGTGTTAGAACTGTCAATCAAAACATGGGTTCCTCCTCCAGATTATATTCTAGAGAGGAGGATTTGGGAGATGTAAATGGAATGATAGATTTGAGGAAAGCTGTGAGTTCTAGTTCTAGGAAAATCTCAGAGGGGCAGTTTATGGTTACTATATATATTTAGTATCAACAGTTTTCCATATGCTATTGCATAGCCTATGGTAGCCTTTAGATAGATATGTGGTAATAGTTACAAGATCTTTTTAATTGTTCTTCATTTGTTTTTATGTTCTATGATGTACACTGTCCAGAGTCAGTTGCTGAGATGGGCAGTTCTAGAAATTGGCTAGATTATAATTATAGATGATATGGATAGATATAAGATAGATGATGATGATGATAGATTATATAGATGATAGATAGACAGATAGATAGACAGATAGATAGACAGATAGATGAGAGATAGATGATAGAGATAGATGATAGATGATAGATAGATGATAGATACCAGTAGATAGATGATAGATTAGATAGATGATAGATGATAGAGGTAGATGATATAGATGATATAGATAGATAGATAGATAGATAGATAGATAGATAGATAGATAGATAGATGAAAGAGAGTAGATTAAAAAACTGCAATTGGGGAAACTCAAATTATTTTAAAACATAAATGGTAAAACAGTTGGGGGTTAGATAATCCTAGGCAAGGTAGAATGTAATGAAAAAAATAGTTCTCCCCATTCTCTGATAAGAATTCTGATTTGGCAATTGCATATGGAAAATATATTGACAATACAGTGCAAAAATGTTGGTCTGTAAATACATACAACTGTGCTTTTGTTCAAATATTCTGAGGGTAGGGCTATTGGAATGATTGCTAAGGAGTTAAATGGTTTTGGGTTTTTTGTTTTTTCTTTGCAATAAAGAGGCCATTAAAAGGCCTTTTTTAGTTGCCATCTATCTCATCTCTCAGCAGATGCATCTTAAGGGAGACTTCTGAAGATTATATTAACATCTGGGCAAGAGTGTGTAAAAGAAAAGTGTGGTCCCAGTCTGATTAATGTTTTAAGGGGAGTATTAACACTTTGAACCGAGTCTGGAAATGAACTTAGCATGTACCATGAGGCATAGACCTGACATAACATGATAATATCAGCCAGTTCCTATTAACCATTTCACTGTCTTATTTTAAGTCTGTTGAAATTTCTGGCATTTTCAAAGACAACACACCATACAACATACTGTTAAAATTCAAACACAATATTACCACTTTCTTCTATAACTAACTGTCTGGAGTTGGATGTTGATTTAAACATTTCATCAAGAAGATCTTTAATACAGATCTTGTGCATCCTAGACAGGTCTAACTATGCCATTTGTTCAAAAGTCTGGCTTATTACCTCTCATCAAGGAGGAATTTATCATTTCCTGGACACAGCTGGACATCACATATCATAAGTAACAAAGGGCAAGGATCAAACTCACAGATAATCAGTAAGGTTTGTCCAAGCAACTTTAAAATGAGCAACTTGGTATAAGAACCCATCCTGACTCAAGAGCTTTATAAAAGCTATGGTCTATTCATAATTTTTCAAAGAGATACATTATTGAATATACTTTCTTTACTTTATTTGTTCTTGTCAGAATTAACAAGAACTCAGCTGCTCACAATACACACACACAAAAAAAACCCCCAAACAATAAACTGACTGCAGTACAATTAAAATATTAAAGTAATAAAACAGTACAAATAGTCCTCATTTAGTTAGCACAATTGGGACTGGCAGCTCTGTCGGTAAGAGAAGCAGTTGTTAAATGAGAACTCATGTGACTATGACTTTGCTTTCTTTTTCCTTTCCCCAGGCTTTGGGATGCTTGCCTCACTGCTGGAATAATCAAGAAGAAGGGAAATAATATATCTATTTACATTAATTGGAGAGGAAGGGATTACAAGAGAGTAACAGGCTCGCAATGGGAAATACACCAGGCTGTAGCATGTTCATGGCTCCCAGCCCGAGATCTGAAAGTGCTTGGACTTGCCAGCAACATCACATTGCTTTTGATGTATATTCCCCATTGTGCACCTGCTTAGTCTCTTGTAATCTCTTTCTTTCCAGTCTCTGCGAGTGGAGAAGGAAAGAAAACAAGTCAGGGCAATGTATAATGATTGTAATGACAATCATATGACTGAGAGATGCTGCAAAGGTCATAACTGTGAGCATTGCTTGTAAGGTTATTTTTTTTTCAGCACTGTTGTTAACTTTAGTCATTGAAGCAGTTACTAGGCGAGCACTACATATAAGGGAATCTTCTAATACAAAACATTGATGGCATAAGTTGAACCTCTGAAAGCTGTCCAAAAATGAATGGAAAGTCAATGATATAAGGGCCAATCAAATTTCCATTAGAAGCTATTCCATAATACAGGTGCATCCCCAGGAAGTAATATCTATAACTGCAGCTTCATACCTTCATAGATCACCTTCCCTCTTATAAAGCTATATGATTGCTTGGGAAGAACCTACTGATTGATTATATGCCATCAAATCACTCTTAGCAACCATTTTTCCCATGACAATCTGTCTCTAATCTAGTCTTTCCTATCATCCAATGGTACATTTGTAATCTATTCACCTTGCTGCTGGTATTCCTCTTCTTCCAATATTTCCAGCATCAAGGTCTTCTCCAGCGAGCTTGGTCTTCACCTAATGTGTCTGAAGTCAGTCAATTTCAGCCTATTCATTTGTGTCTCAAGTGAGAACTCTGGATTGGTTTATTGAATAATCCCTTTATTTCCTGTTTCAGTAGTCTTTTGCTGTCATGCTGGAACAGGCTTTTGGAACTGCAACAGAGGGTATCTATCTCTGGACTAGATCAATTGGAAAACTCTCTAGATTGAGAGCAAAGTCTAAAGTCCAGCCGAAATGCTTACGAGATTTCCTCTTTGCTGATGATGCTGTCATTATTGCTCACACTGCCGAAGACCTTCAACAACTTATGGACTGTTTTAGCAAGGCCTGCCAAGACTTTGGGCTAACAATCAGCCTGAAAAAGACACAAGACATGGGTCAGGACATGGATTTACCTCCCTGTCCTGACCCAGGGAGGTAAATCCACGTCCTGACCCATGACTTGTGGGTCCAATCTCTGCACAAGAACTGGAGGTCGTCCATGACTTTGTGTACCTCGGTTCAACTATACTCTCACTTTAGATACTGAGCTGAATAAACGTATTTGCAAAGAGGCCACCACGTTCTCCAGACTTACAAAGATAGTATGGCTCAA